GAGAGAGAGAGAGAGAGAGAGAGAGAGAGAGAGAGAGAGAGAGAGAGAGAGAAGGGGAAAGATATTTATATTTAAAGCCATTAACAGATAATTTTATTAAGAGTCTGTATGAAATAGCAACGCGTGAATGTGATATTTTTAGCCCTACTCTCAGAATGAGAATGAAGAATGAAATTTTCAGGTCTTGTTGGTCTAGATGGTTAACATTGGTTGGGGAGAGGAGCGGGGGCGGAAAGTGAGTTTCGCGAGTAAGTGAATGGCCAAAGATACTTGAAACTAACGGACATACGTGATCCTAAACAAGCAACTCTGCAAGGCATTTTTTATGAAAAGTAGGTAAAATATATGAATAAAATGATTTGTCGGTATTTTATATTTGCATCTTCTTAGATAATTCAAGTGTTCTATGTTAAAAAGTTGTATTTTATCCTTTAAGATAATTAAATGATAATTAATTATCTTGCCTATCCGGTAACCGAGATCATTAAGGCAGTAGTGTCGGGGCGATCTCGGATCGAAGGATCGCGTGTTCGAATCCCGCCTCGGACATGGAGGTATTTGTGATCACCGCACCTTTCTAGGGATTAACCTAAACATTTTTCATGAGTGAGAATTCATATTTAGAAGTTTTAATGTAGGTTGCTTCGAACAAAGTGGCCCTTGAAATTCGATAAAGGGACGAAAAGAGCGATAAGGGCATGAAATAGTTGTGGGCGAAATTAGTGAACTTCAACGCATTACGTAGGAGTTGGAAATACACATTGCGATTATGTCTTAGTTTTAGTCCCGAAAGGTACGCAATTTCAAAATTAATTCTTACGAAGTAAATGTGAGAAAGGAAAAATCAGCGACTGTGGGAAGTTACCGGTTGCAACTTAAGGAGATAATGAGCTTCACTCTAAGTTTACGAAATTGCAAACGAAAATAAGACAAAATTTAAAGCCAAGTAAAAGCGCTTCCTATCCCCCTTGCGACTCTGTTCGAGAATATCACAACCGATGCCTATCATATTTTGTGACAAAAGTGGGAGGTTGTCGTGGATTAATAATAAAGCGCATTAACCCCGTGCTATTCAGTACTCCCGTTTGGTGGGGGTCATAAATATATTGAAGAACATTTTGTAATATATACTTTATATTTTTGCTTCTTTAGACGAGATCTGAAAAATGAGAAAAATATCGAATTTTGTTTTTAATCTTAAAACAATCTCTAGACTTTTTCTGATCATTTTGATATATCAGTTCATGAAATTTTTTTGTGTTTATATTTTTGTGTTTTGAATGTTCATCAGCACACTGACTGACATTTTAGTAGTTCCGTATTTCTACACAATCATAGTTCTGAAACTATTTACTCTAGAAGTCTGTGTTTTTCTGGAAGGCTGTGATTGCAATGCGGAAAATACGTTTAGTAACGAAAATCTTAACTCTACAAGTGATACAGTTAAGCTCCGCCACCCAAACATCAGAGATCTCAGCTGAGAAAATGACTCCAAAAAGCCAGAGAAAGAAGAAAAAACAGCTTCCAGATATTATTAATAAAGATCATATTTCCCAATAAAGAGCAGGTTGTTTTTGAATACAGTAACACAACAAATGTACGTATGGTGGATGATTCCTAGTAAAAACGTTAAGACGGTTTTTCTCAAAACAAAGTTTATCGTAATAAATGACCCGTTTTCTCATAAACTATTAACCCCATTATAGTTGAAACCTTTACAGGTTACTTTAATAGACAATGTGAAGCCGGGGATCTACGTTTGGTAAATCAGCATTATCTGTTTCAATTTTATAAATTATTTATAAATTAAATTATTTTCAAAATGTAGGTCCGAGAAAAAAAAGTTTCCTGCCAAGTAATTCTTTTCAATGTAGATCAGTACAACAACAACAATAGTACACATAATGAAGAGTAAAAATTTGAGATCGGAATCTCCAATATTTTATGAGATAATGGGTCACTAAATTGAAAATTTAACATGGGCCGCGAGGCAGCTGGGCTCCAAATGGCAAACAGGCCAACGTTTCAGAATGAGAGGACGCCGCCGGCATGGGAGATCTGTCACATGACCTCTCACGTGGCGGCTGGAGAGTAACCAGCCGTGGTCATTCGTTTTCCAACGGAATCGCGGTGCGGAAGGCTCTTTTCACCCGCCAGGGGTTATCGCGAGCTTCGGCTGCGAGGTGTGGCGGTTGCCACGGGACGAGAGACCAGGAGCGGCGCCAAGCCTCTGGAGTCTGCCTCAGACTGAGGCGCCTATGCCTCAGGGATGTGCAGTGCTGGGGGTGCAGCGCTAGTTTCCGAGGAGTGTAGATAGTGTATAAAACCTGTCAATAAATCTGTACAGAACAACTCCGTTTCTGTGTTTTACTCGCACCCGACGACGCCACAGTGGAAATAATGCTCACTCCTAAAATATTGACCATACAAAAAAAAAAAAACACTTTTACATTATTTCTAACCTTCGCAATTTTCAAAACTTTATTAACCGTCCTTTTCACCATTCATGAACAAATATTTTAAGAAACACTTTGGAGCAGTTTTTGGTACAGTAGATATATATATTAGTTGATATAGTAGATATTATAGTTATATAATTTCTTTAAATTCAGAAATAAATTAAGTGAAAACTACTCGTTTTGAATTTGAAACTTTTTAAAGATCTAATTTGTAGAAAATCTCTTTTATCAATATGATACTTTTGCAATTTTCGATAATGAAGATAGTTTGCCAAAAATGGGTCCAGAACCACTTCCACTATCGTCTTTTCTTCCATCCAAGGACGAAATTCAAGAAAAAAATTAGAGCCGTGTTTGAGAAAATTGTTTAAAAATTGCGTATATTTCTCGCAAAAGTATGCAAAACCTACTCATATTTTAGAAAATTTGTAAATAAACTTAATGCAAGATCTGTCTTTGAACACATTTTATTAAGGAAAATCTATATTCATTAATGTAATTGTAGGAAGATGCGTAAAAAATTTGATCATTTGTGATTTTCGAAAATTATGTGATTTCAACAAAAATGCGATGCGCCATTTTCAAAGCGTCCTTTACGCTGTGCGAGAACAATGTTTAATAAAAATATTCAGGTCGCGATTGAGAAAATGTAGAAAATGTTGAGGCTTTATATAATGTATTCCCTAAAATCGAAATATCCGTCTCAAATTCGCAGAGCTTTGAATTCGTCCAGGTCGATGGGAGAATATCAATTTTGAAGAAAACGGTTTAGGCAGCAGCCACAGGCGGACGGTTTTACCATGAGTTGATTTTGGGGTATTAAGGACCCACAAAACGAGGTTTCGGATAACACTACCTGTGACTGAAGTAACTTACTACTTACATGAACATGATTTATCCACTTTTTCTTTACTAGTGCCCGACAATATGAGATTTTGAGTTGAAAAATCTGCCATTTCCGCCACACAATTACAACTTTCACGATTACCGCTTTCTTTTTTCTGCATATGTACTTAGTATGGTGAGAAAGTTAAACTGGCGTACAACAATATAGACCAAGAATATTTAAAATTACATCCGTATATACTTGTGTATTGCTTTCATTATTCTAATAATAATTTTAAAAATTTCAAATATATTTTCATGCTCATCGTGATTAGAAACATTAAATATTTCAGAGTTATTAGGGGGCTAGTTTTTTGTTCTTGCTTAAAATGAAAACCCGGACCTGGTCGTCAATGTTTGTGTTTGTCTGTTATGTATTTACTTGTTGGCTGCCGCCTTTGAAGGTCGTTCGCCGTAAGCTGTGTCTGCGGCAACCTTCGCTCACCGTCTAGGGTTGGATCCATCTGATAATTTTGAAGGGCTCACCGTAGATTGTTGTTAAATAATAAATATATTTGCTACTGTATTTTATATTATTCGTGTACTGTTAGATACGATATAATACAATATTATTGTTTAAATAATTAAATATTTCGATCATAAATATTGAAATAAATTTTGCCAATTAAGGAAGGGAAACGAAAACCCTTGGACTTTTGGAGGGGGCCATGGCGCCCATGGCCTCCCCCCGGTTCCGCCAGAGTCCCCGCGCAGGGAGGCGGCGTGCCATCCACTCACCTGGCCTGACGGCGGCGTGTACACGCGGGTGCGCGAACGATGCTCCTGGCGGGTGCGGTGTGCTCCAGGTCGCTGCCCCAGGCCTGCCTTATATCAGGGCTCGCTGCGGCGGCGGTGGCGGTGGCGGCGGGGACGGCGTTGTGTCGCGGCGTGCAACCGACACCTCTCGGGAAGCCCCCGACGCGGTGCGGCGCGGCGCGGCGAGCTGCTTCCGAGAACCTGGCGCCGCGGCGGGGACCCCCGCGGCCGGATGGCCTGAGCGACCGGCGCTGCTGCGCCTTTGCATCATGCAAACGCCGAGCGGCTAAGGGTCGCCACTTTTTTAACGCTACCAGGGGTGGGAAACCTTATTTATACACCAAGAGCGTTATATGTAGGGGGAGGATTTTGATGACCTAAAACATTGACAAAAATGATCAATAAAATGACCTTGAAATGTTTTTTAAAATGCCTTAAAAACAAAGAAAAATGAGGTAAAACATTTCAAAACCACTTCAGATGAACAATTCGAGGTAATGGAAATCTTACTGATGTAATCAAGGTTTCAACCTTTTGTGCAAGTTAACTTGGCTTGCAAACTTTTGGTTTGCACGCTGCCTTACAATAAAATCTCTGCTTTTATGTATCACAAATCTGGCCGAACTGACAATGGAGCCGATAGACGTCACAGAAACCTTAGATTACGTAGTAATCACAACGGCTGACATTACTAAATATGAGCGAAGAAATAGAATCGGCTGCATGGAATTCTGTAGTGAACATTTGTTGCATCTCGTAAATATTGCTTGAAACAAGTACCATATTACTTAATATGATATTAAAATCGTTGAAATCAGAGAAAAAATCATTAAAATTACTTGAAAAGGTAAAAAATGTCTTATTAGTCGAAATTGACGAAAATTGCAACAAAAAAGGCAAAGAAAAGGGTAATTTCCTTTTGTCAGAACACAAACTTAATTTCTGAACAAAACGACATTGTTCTAGAAGCGAAAAGAAAAAATCTGACATTTCACTAAAATCAGCCCCCTAGTTATAATGCAATTACTCAATAAAACGGAGTGAAATTGAAGTGAACTTCAAAACAAAACCTTAATGCCTTTAAAGGATAAAATGCGCGACATTTCAGCTCGAGTGCGTAAGAGCTCGAGATACGTATCACGCTCAACGCTAGTGAATTGGCAGATCTGATAAAGGGACGGCGCACTGGCATAGTAACCATGGTTACTGATTGTATTACATTATTTAGGTAATCTTAACTCGCGAAATGGTGGGTCGAGTCAGTTGAGCTACACTGTTTGCAGCTTAGCTGCACCTAAAATATCCGAAGCTTGTCGCATCATTTTTGGGTCAAGGCGGATGTCCCATGTGGGAATGGGGCATCGCCATAGGCAGATTTATTGTTAAGCTAAATAAGCTACTTCGTGGGACCTCCAAGTGCAAGGCGCCAAAAACATTATTAAACAAAATTGAAAATTTGCTAAAAAATATGAAAATATACAAATTTATAGTTAGTGTAGTTATTCAATTAGCCGTTTCTTATATTTTTTAAATTTTAAATGGGAATAAAATTATTATTTGAAGGCATGTTTTCATTCTTTAATTAATTTGGAATACAAATGTTAAAATCTCTAATCTCAAAAATGTTATTGTTGACAGTAAAAAGGAGGGTCTCAAAAATATTTCAGCTTGGGGCTTCGAAAATGGTAAATCGGTGGCTAGCCATAGGTGCGCACAGTCTAAAACAACCGAGGTAGAGGGAGGGGGTGACAACCATTGTCAGGATCCCTTTCCCATTAAACTTTTATGTTACTTATCATATTACAAGAACAACGATTTTCAGTGAATTTTTAAAATGTATTCTTACATTTGGGCAGTTGTAGGAGAGATCGACTCGGATTTAGCCGCATATTTAGAGATCCATACATTGTAGCTGTTTTCGGTGTGTGAAAGGCTTTTGATGCATTTTTAACGCTTCCTACAGGGTGGATCGAATATGAATTGACCATTGCTCAGGGGGAGATTCAAAAGTTTTTTCAAGTCTTGCCCCGTTACACTACATGGTGCGTAATGTACAATTTCCTAATTCCGCATAGTTCTGGGGAAAATTAACAATTTTTCATATAGAGCACAACGCAATTTTTGTATTCATTTAATGTAATTTTACAAAGACCGTAAAATAACTCACAGCCAAAACACGCGCTTTGTGAAAAGGTATGTATTTTTAAGAATTAAATTTAACACGCTAATTATAATATACTTTTGAAGTATTGAACAATCTTAATAAATATTGCAAATTACGAGTATCTACATAGAATTTGAAGTAACACAGTTTCAGACGTAAACATTAATTACTTAATATAAAATATAAAATACATTGAAAATGTGCAATTAGTTTGCAATTTTTGGCAAATGTTTATTATTTTTGCAAAAAATTAAAACATTATAAATAAACAAAAAATAATTTTATTTATTAAAATATATCCAATCAGAAAGTTAAAATTGTTTAGTGATGACAGATGGTCACAAATCACCGTTAATTACTGCTGAACCTAATTATTGCAGTATTGTCTAGCGATACAAAATTTGAAAATTTCGACGTTTCACTTAGAACCGTATGCGCTACAGTAATTAACGATCACTATATTATTCTTAGCAAGAATGAAAATAAAATGTATTATTACTAGGCTACGAGGCTCCTTGCAGAATTCTGGGGGAATTGGGGTAACCCCCCCCCCCCACCGTGTGCAAGCATATGTTCGCCACTTTAAAGATGGGGTCAAAATGGGGGCATGTTCGTCACTTTTGAACGGGGTCATATCGAGGCATGCCCCCCCCCCTTGTGCGCACATTTATGCTCTCCAAATGGGGTCATAATGAAGGCATGTCCCCCCTTGCGCTCACGCTAATATTCGCCACTTCACAGATGGGTTCAAAATGAGCAATGAAGGATCCCGCGCGGGGCGTGGTCCGCTGTTCGAGCTTTGGTTTGCAATAATTAGTCAGAGGTGACCACGGAAACGACTGGAAATGGCATCCGATAGGGCATCTAGTAATGGCATCTAGAATTCCGATCTAAAAAGTGACGTAGTATTATCCAACTACCTGGCTGGAGTTGAAATTACTGATCTTGTTTACTTCTGATCACGTTAAAATACCCATGCTACAATTGATGGGGGCCCCTGCGTGTTTATTGTCTGAATTGAAAAAATGCGTAATGGAAAAACCTATTTGTTTTTAGAGATGTAACAAATGATAGAAATTGCAGTATTTCACTTGAACTGTGACGAAGAAATGCGTTTCTTGGGAATTTGCTTCTAGAAGACAATCGGATTAACGATCTGCGAGTTCAGGGAATACAAGATTCATGAAGTCCATTCCCAATTAGAAGAATTAACCAGAACATGATGTAGAAATGTTCATAATAGAAGTTGGAGAAATTTTTAAACCAATGAAATCCAAATTCTGCACTATTGCAACATGCAATTTAACGCATTTAGTATATGCAAAACACGTACCTCTTACATACTTCGATTTTGTCGAAAGGAGCGCAATCGACAATTTGAGCTGGAGTTGTTAGGTTACTCGCAGAGTAGTAACGGCGAGAGAATTTGGGGACTCCTCCAGTCCTGGCTCTCCAGACGCAGTTATATCCCTATTTTCATTTCTAGAATGTGATCTAGTGATGCTTCATAAGCACATACAGTATTTATATGCTGTTTGTTTCTCGTTGGCCATTTTCACTTGTAATGTTTCTCGCTGGCCATTAATTATATTACATATTAAATTAATAGACCAACACTACACTTAAACTTGACATAAAGTTTTATTAAACGTTCTTCTTGCTTATTCCATGATACGTAAAGGGATGATACGAAATTAGAATAGCGTGTGGACAATTACAAATAAATGTGATCGATATGTTTTATGTCAAAGTAAAGGAATAAATTAAATATCCTGCATTAAAAGCGCCCTGCTCGGGAGGTGATCTTTTTCCCACTGTATGGCGAGATCCGGCGCCAACCTACCGTCGGCTAGCGGGGTTTTCCCCAACCAGGTATCTCCCAACAGCTGGGGGCTTGCCCCGGCCGGGACAAGCTCTTCGCTCCTGACGGGTCTCCCGACATGAGTGGTAGTGTAACTGTGTGTGTGTGTGTGTAAGGGGGGAGAGATCACGCGCGGTCCGTGGCCTGTTTGTTAGGATACTGTTCCGGCATTCGCCTGGTGTTGATCGGAGAAACTACGGAAAACTATGGGTCAGAGCAAAATTCTCCTCTAATCAGCGACTAACTTCGACCTAGCTAACAAGCTAGTGTCGAAAATCCTGCTACTGTAGGGACTCGAACCTAGGATCTTCCGGTTAGAGAGATTGTAGTGATATCAGTTGATGCCTTGAGCCATCTCTGTCTGTCAGGTAAGTGTAAATAAATTGTATTAAATAAATACGAGAGGGGAATCACGCGAATCACGCTCTATCCTTTCAATTTTTCCAGCTTTCGCAACCATAGAGCAGCATGGTAATTGCATTGGTTTTGTACATGTTTATTCGAGTTTCTTGCCTCATTTTATCTTTTATGTTGTTGTGAATGGTTCTGGCTAATTTTTAGACACTCACAAGTTTGTTTTCGTTGTCTATATCTTTCTGGTCAGTTGTTAAACTGCCCTTATCTTTGATTGGGCATCTCGATACGGGCCTTGACCGACCAGTGGTGGCCCAGCCTCTCGGCCATGGTGTAAGTGGCACGAAGACATCCCTCCTCCGTATATACGTACTGGTCTTCATAACTTCAGGTTGTGCCTTATCGTCGTCACACATAAAAGATACTGGAACATCAGTAAGGAAAGAGCACAGTTATAATTCTACCCCGGCCGGGAACCGGACCAATGGTTGCGCAGTGGAAAGCGACCTCACTAACCAACGGGCCACCAAGGTCCTCAGTTATTATACATCCTAAATAAACAAAGGAGATTTGTTCTAAAATTTTGTTTTCAACTTCCATTTTGGATCTAACTGGTGAATTCCCCCAAAATGCCATTACTTTTGTCTTATCTCTTGATATCTGAATGTGACATTTAATACATATATTATGGAGACGTTGAGTAAAACGTTTTAACTTATTTTCTGTCT